ACCCCACAAGAGCAGATGTGTAAATCTTCCTCTGCAGCAGCCTTCTGTCTTTGAAGTGTCCTGCCCATACCAGGCTGGGCTCATTAGGGCTTTACAGCCTCCCTCCCCTGGATGCTTCAGGAAGCAATTCCCATGCTAGTTTGGCCAGCAGTAATGACAATCCAGCATAATGCATGTGGTGCCACAGAGTGCCTGAACTGTGCCCCCTTCCCTGAGCTCTCCTCCCATTGGTCCCTCTCCAGTCCAGCTTGCCAACATGTGGGACTCTAATCCCCGCCCCGCATGCCCTTCTGAGCTGATGCCACGTGCTGATGCTTCAGAGAACTGTCTTGGCTGACTGGAATAGTTCTCAGCTTCCCTCCCCCTCCTGCCTGTAGGCAGCCTACTTGCCTCCTGCCAAGTGTTTGTTGGTAGAGACCAGCGGGGCACCCTGCGCTGAGACACCTGATCTGAGTTTGGGGGAGGGGGAATCAGCCTGTGGAGCACAGGGAGTTAAAAATAACAGGTAAATAAAATCAAAGCAATGGAAGAACAGGAGTGAGAGCCAAGCCCACCCCCTCCCTTGGACTGGATTGTAAGCAGCCCTGCCCTCTCCTTTGTGCTATGCTCAGAGCTGGGGCAGGCCTGGAGGGGCGCCTTTCTGCTAGAAATATCTATGTGTATTAGGGCAGCAGCACCCAGTGAGATCAGGTCTCCCTTGTGCTCAGCCTACCTAACAGCAGACCGTGACCCTTGTTTCTCTGGGGCTGAATCTCACTGCAGCATGGAGAGTAAGGCAGAGGATCTCCCTGCAGCCTTGTAGCTAGCTAGACCAGACAGCAAACAAATTCCTGGGGAGTGTTGACACTGCCAGTGAGGCCACAAAGCAGGTGTGGCTCCATTGTGGAGGCTGGGTGTTTGTGAGAACAAGGGGCAGGCTGGTGGGCAGAAACCAAAGATGAAAGGTCCCCTGTCCACTGCCCAGCCAGCACCTGGGCTAGCAGGTCTAGAGAGAACTCAGTGCACAGTGTTGGTGCCTCCCTTGCAGGCCTGGCTTCGGCTCTATGGCTACCTCCCACAGTCCAGTCGGCAGATGTCCACCATGCGCTCGGCTCAGATCTTCAGCTCCGCCCTCTCCGAGATGCAGAGGTTTTATGGGATCCCAGTGACAGGCATCCTGGATGAGGAAACCAAACTGTGAGTTCCCTTGGGGCTGCCCATCTGCTTGCACAGCAGGTGGAGAAGTAGGACCCTGCCCAGAGACAGTCCCAGAGACTGCCCAGCCCAGTGGTGTGGCTGGCCCCAGGAGCAGACAACTCACTTCTTGTTTCCCAGAGTCACAGGTCCAGCGCCTCTTGCTGAGAACTGAGCCCTCACAGGCAGAGCTCTTCCCCACCCCCCACAGCACCTCCAGCTATGGGCCTGGCCCCACAGCCAAGGCACCTGCTCCACTCCCCATAGACTGTCCTGGTGCACAAGGCTGCTGTATGTGCCTTCTCCAAGTTCCAGCATGGACCCAGTGCTCTCACCTCTCACTCTGGTTGCTGTGATTGGCCTCTTCTGCAGGTGGATGAAGCGGCCCCGCTGCGGTGTCCCAGATCAGTTTGGAGTCAAGATCAAAGCCAACATGCGACGGAAGCGGTACGCGCTCACTGGGCGGCGCTGGAGCCAAACCCACCTCACCTTCAGGTACCAGTAGGCCCAGACCCCAGCTTCTAGCCATCTGCATTCTCAGTCACAGATCACTGGGGGCCAAACACATGACACAGCGGGCACATGGCTCATCACGTTGCTTTACACCAGGTGCCTAATGGGGTAATTCCCTTTGCCCCTGGGAACCTTACACCTGAGGAACAAGTGTGATGGGACAGTGGGCTGGGCTGGAGACCAAAATCCTTTCTGCAGCAGGGCTGGCATCCAACTGCCATGCATCAGCCTGCTGAGGGAGAGTATTTCAACTGACAGCGCACTACTGTGCATGGCCTGGTCCCACAGCAAATCCAGCCATTGCACCCTGGGCTGAGTGCCGGGAGCTCGGCGGCTGCCTTGTTGGCCTGCATGGGGTCTGCACTGCTGTCACTCTGTGGCTTACTCAGCATAGCGCTCTGCTGTCTGGCAGACTGCGGACCAGATCCTCAGCTGCCATGAATTGGCTTTGGTGGAGCTAGACTGAGTTACACCAGCCGAGGAACTTGCCAGCCTTGATGACTGTTCTCTGAGAAAGATGTTCTGGTGCCTGCTTGCTTCCTGTACTTTTAAGATGTCTCACAGCATGAAATAAGGCCAAGGAGTGTCCCAAGCCCTCTGCCAGGGGACTCAGACAAGAGATATCCTTTCCCATGGCATTTACTGGGATACCGTGAAGGAGAGGGGCCAGGCATTCAGGACATTGTAGTCTCTGATTTAGCCCATGGGTCAAGTGTGTCTCTGTCCTCTAGTGAACCACAATGCTGTGCTACCCTCGACCTGCCCCCTGAAGTCAACAGGACTTTGGACATTGATATCCCTGGAAGTAGGATCAGTTCCCCCATCCGTAGCTATGATGGAGGGGTTTACTCTGGAACTGGAGTTCCCAGGTGTGGTCTCAGGTGATGATCTAATGAAGGCTGCTGCTCAGATTGTATTATAACAGGACAAATTAATGATCCCTTGCTAAATCAGCTTTGGGCTAGAAATGACTATCCATCCCCTGGCAGGCAGCAAGGGCCAGACATTGAGGTACTAAGCTAGCATGTGGGAGCCAGAACTAGAAGCCAGAGTGAAGCTGACCTAGCGTTCCTGCTCTCTGGGTTGAGTGGAACAGAGCCCTGCCCGTAGTTTCCCACTCCTCCCACTCTAAGGAGCCCTTTCTCCCTGTGTTTGTGTGCCCTCAGCATCCAGAACTACACAGAGAAGCTGGGGTGGTACCACTCATATGAAGCCATTCGCCGAGCCTTCAGGGTGTGGGAGCAGGCCACCCCTCTGGTCTTCCAGGAGATTCCCTATGATGATATCCGGAACAAGAGGAAGAAGGAGGCTGACATCATGGTGCTTTTTGCCTCTGGTTTCCATGGAGACAGTTCCCCTTTTGACGGTGTGGGGGGCTTTCTGGCCCACGCATATTTCCCTGGCCCTGGGATGGGAGGGGACACGCACTTCGACTCAGATGAGCCCTGGACGCTTGAGAACACCGAATTGTCTGGTAAGGCAGGAAGGCTCCTTGGTGTGGCTGATGAGAAAGAGTGCAAGAAGTTAGGATAATCCCAAGACATAATCCAGGTGGGAGATTCAGGGGAAGAAAGATTGTCTTTGCCTAGAGCACAAGTTGGGCAGCACTCCTTGGTTCTGCCTCCAGCCCTGGGTAGAAGTGGATCTAATCTTGACAACAGGGAAACTGGGACACAGAACTCCTGCATTCAAGTCTTAGCTTAGCCACTGACTGTGGCAGGTTTTGGAAGCGGTAGTGCCAGTACAGCTGCAGGGAATGAGGCATCAACAAGGTTTGGGTGTATTTAACACCCTACCATCTAGCTTAGTGGGTCTGGCTAGATCTGGGATTTTTAGTCCCAAACCACTGAGCCCCATATTGATGACACATCTCACTAGCAGCTACACAATCCAGTTGCCAGCTTCAGCTTTTCCATTTAGCAGTTTAGCCAGTACTGTTAACCTTACCACCTCCCACCTGTTCAGCCCTGGTTATGGTCAGGTACTTATTGAGAAGGGCCTAGTATTGGTTACTCTCTATCCTGGTCACCAGCATGCAGAACATGGCCTGAAAGGGACAGTCAAAGGAGTCACTTCTGGTGACTGCCAGAAGGACACTGAGTGAATGGAATAACATGGATGTATTACTGGAATGATGAGTTCAGGCCTGTTGTCCTCACTCCAGAGGAGAGAGTGGTTCAGAAAGGAGTTGCAGCAGGGATGTGAGGCCTGGGAAGCCTGAGTGGGAAGTGAGGGGCTAGAGGAGCTCCATTTACTTCATTTGTTCATGAGGAGCTGATGAAGGTACCTGAAGCCAGTCAACAGGGACTGAAGTGCAGGTGCGGTTTCTGGTAACAATCTTTAATCTGGTTATGCTAAAAAGCCATGACAGGAACCAGTGGCTGGAGGCTGAACCCAGAAACTGAGACTAGAAGTGAGGTGCTGATTTTTAACAAATGGAAATAATTAAGCAGTTGAACAATTGGGTGTGTGGTGGATCCTCCATCATTTGGTGCCTTCACATTAAGACCAGCTGTTTTCCTAAAAGATCTACTATAGCTCAGTCCCAAAATTGAAGGCCAGAGGTAGGAGTCGCTATATCGATTCATATCCTGACCCAAGACAGAGCCATTTCTTGTGGCCTAGGTACTTTGATTAAGGAAAGCACTGGGGAAGGTGCAATCTGCCCTTCATCCAAATGCACATAGTCATCTCCATGGCAAAGTGGGAGCCCTAGGAGAGGAAGTCCCTCCCCAGACACAAGTGAGTCAAGTAAAAGATGGAAAATAACATTACATCCTGCCAATGCAGAGATGCGGGAGACCTAAGCATTGGGTCCAGTCCCCCAGCTTGCAGATAGTTCTGCTACTAACAGTGCTGTTCTCTGTCCTAGGGAACAACCTCTTCCTGGTGGCCGTCCATGAGCTGGGGCACTCGCTAGGGCTGGAACACTCCAGCAACCCCAGTGCCATCATGGCGCCCTTCTACCAATGGATGGACACGGAGAACTTCCAGCTGCCGGAGGATGATCTCAAGGGCATTCAGCAGCTGTACGGTGAGAGAGGCTAGGCCAAGTCCACGCTGACAGCCAGACACCTGGCTTCCTGCATGGCCCTGCTAGTTGCAGCAGGCCAGAGGGGAGGTAGGAATGCCCAGCCCAGCTGGCACCTGTGCATGGCTCTGCATTGGCATGTGTGTCTGTATCCATGCACAGAGATATCACTGGGCTGCCTGGGAGTAGCAACAGGCAGCAGTCACAGCTTACAGTGGGCTGGGATGGGTGCTGCCACGCCCCCGCCCACCCCCCTGCACAGGCTGGCATGTGGGGGTGCTTTCGGTGGGTCAGGGAGGCACAGAAACTCCTCCTGGCTCTTCTGCCGCAGAGGATAATGCTCTCTTGTGCCCCTGCCCCTTTTTCCTGGGAGGAGGTGCTTCCATGTCCACAGGGGCAGTAAGTGTCCAGAGTCTGTCCCTTAGTGGCTGCAAAGGCCAGGGGCAACATTGGGAGGTTGTAGCTAGGATAGAGAGTGCCCTGCTGAGATGTGACATGAGCACTGTGCTGCTGACATATCAGTTCTCCTGTAGTTATGACAGGCACCTGCACTCTCAGAGTAGCAGGCTCTAAGTTCTCCCCTTGCTGCCTCTGTGCAGTCCCAGCTGCCAGTGCCTGTAAGGTTGTTTCCACACAGCCTGTTGGGTCCTGGCCAGGCTCAGGAGGCTTATTTGGATACTCTCTTGCAGTTGCTCACTGTCTTCTTCCCCTTCACTGCCTCAGGTACCTCTGATGGAAGGCCTCAGCCCACCAGGCCCCTCCCAACTGTGACACCCCAGAGACCTGGAAGGCCAGATCATAGACCCCCCAGGCCACCTCCCCCTGGTAAGCCAGACCGGCCCCCAAGACCAGGCAGCCCAGACCACCCCAGAACCACGGACCGCCCTGACCAGTACGGGCCAAACATCTGTGATGGGGACTTCGACACCGTGGCTGTGCTACGCGGGGAAATGTTTGTGTTTAAGGTATCAGGTGCTGTCTCCCCTCCATTTCCCAACCCTTTGTACCCCTAGATCACTTCCTCTCTGTTCCCTCTTCCTATCTCCATCCCTGGCATTTTCAACATCAACCCCTGAGGTCCCTTCCAACCCTGCAGTTCTGTGAGCATGCCCTGCACTATGCTGACTGAAGCCATTTTCCTCCCCCTTTACATTTTTTCTGTACACCCTGCAACCTACTACTGAGACCCCTGGGTGCAGGGAGGGGAGGCAGGTGGGGGAGTTTGCTCCAAGCTGCTGCCCTGGCAGCACCAGATGTGAACCGCCAGCCAGAACCTAGAGCAAGCCAAGCCCTTGCAATGTGTGGGTAGAAGACTCATGCAGTGACAGGCTATATCCCACCACACAGATGAGCCCAGGGTGGGTGAGTGAGCTGCCCCAGCTCCTACTACCCCAGTAGCTTCTGCTGAGTGTTGGGGCCTGGACTCTCAAGGCAGGGAGGAGCAGAAGGGACTGTTATGACCATCCAACTGATGCTGTTTTCCTATAGGGTCGCTGGTTCTGGAGAGTTCGCCATAACCGTGTGCTTGACAACTACCCCATGCCCATCGGGCACTTTTGGAGGGGCCTTCCTGGGGACATTGATGCTGCTTATGAGAGACACGATGGCAAATTCGTGTTCTTCAAAGGTGAGGGACTTGGCCTGGGCGGGTAAAGGAGCTTTCAGCACTGTGTGTGACTATGGAGCTTAGTGCTGCTGCACTGAGCAGACTTCCCAACTCCAAGGCTGCCAGTGCCCTCAGTCTTGGCCCTCTGGGACGGACACGCACGCGTGCACGCACGCACGCGCACACACACACACACACACACACCCCTTGGTGGTCCACAGACTACAGTTTGAGGACCTCTGTTCTAAACCAAGCTTCCCCTCCACCCACAACTATCTAAGTCCTAGGCTGCTCTCAGGCATCAGGCCTCCAACTCTGAAGCAGAGCATGGTGGCTTGGTGAGGTGGACACTAAGCTGAAATGTTCCCTTTCCTTGTTAGCAGTTTACTTGGAGTTGGTGCTACAGGACCCTGTGACTCTGGGTTGCTATATGTCTCCCTGTCCTGTCCCCCTCTCCCCCACCCACCCCTCCAGTGACAGACCCAAGGCTGGAGCCAGCGCTACTATTTGTTCCCCAACAGACAGGCCACAGCCCATCCTTCCACTATCTCAGTCTCTTTGTGTCCAGGACAGATCAGTGGATAGAGAGTGTTCTTGGCTGTTGGTAGTCTGGTCCCTCCTGCCAGTGACCTAATGCACAGCCCCAGAGCCTTGAACCCTGAGCCCTGGCAAGGCTCCATGAAGACAGAATGGCAGGGAGGTTTCCAGGGCTCAAGGAGAGCTCTGGCAAGGCTCTTGCTGCCAGCCATCTGGGCACTGGGACAGTTCCTGAGGTGAGGCTGGGGTAGGAGGAGCCATGGGGGTGGCACTGCAGGCTATGGGTTGGGGCCAGCTGAAGATGCTGCAGCAAAAAAATTCTACATCACAGAGGCCAAGCAGGGCCAGTGCTGGGAAGCGGTTGCTGAGCACAGGCCCAAAGGGTTTATCCAGGTCTGCCTGCAGCTCCCCTGAAACAGAGAATGTCCCAGGAGGCTGGAAATGAGGGGCTGCACTCCATGTGTGCTGGGTGGAGGGCAGGGTGACTTATGGGGACACATGCGCATGCACTCATAGGTTGCATCTCTTGCCCTCCCTTCTCGGCCTTATCTTCTCCTGTTTCCTTGCCCAGGGGATCGGTACTGGCTATTCCGAGAGGCAAACCTGGAGCCGGGGTATCCACAGCCCCTTACCAGCTATGGGCAGGGCATCCCGTACAACAAGATCGACACTGCCATCTGGTGGGAGCCCACAGGACACACCTTCTTCTTCCAAGGCGACAGGTGGGTTGGACCTGCTGTGAAATGGGGCACCGGTGAACCACATGGGCTTCCAGGGCCAGGGGACTGAAGGAGCAATCCAGGATGACCTTGTCCGAGGTCCAGTTGTTCCCTATTGTATGTCCCCAGTGGCTTTGCCCAGCTTGGAGTATGGCATCCCAAGTACTGCTCCTTCCTTTGCTTCCCCCAACTAGTCATGCTGCAGCTCTGGGGGTCTTCTCTTGGGAAGTTCTGGCCTGTCAGGACACATAGCAACCACCCCCCTTTGCCCTGGGACAGCAGTACAGTGGAGATGATGGAGTCCTGGCAGGAAACAGGAAATGGGAGCTGAGGGTCTGAAACCCAAATGCCTGGAAGTGTCACTATGCTGGGAACTGTGAGGGAGAGGCAGCTTTTGGGGAGAGGGGGAGAATCTGGACTGAAAGTGAAATGAGCCGGACAGGGTAGGGAGAGGGAGGAAACAGGCTGCAGCAGGGGAGGAAGGGGCTGGCTTTGTTCTTACCAGTTCCTCTACTCTAGAGAGGATCCTGGAAAACAAATACTTGCTGCCCTCTGGCCAGGGCTCTTATCTCACTCCTGAGGTGCTTGCCTAGCAGCCTGGCTCATCTTCTTCCTGCAGGAAGGTAGATCCAGAGCAGGAGGTGTTGATGTATCACCCCCTCTGCTGCTGACCTCCACTCCCCACCCTGCTCTGCCCCCACCAACCCACCCACCCTTGCCCCCACAGCACCAAGGAACAGAGCACAGTATGGAGGAGTCTCTCCTCCATGGGTCATGCCTGGCTTGGCAGGATGGAGCTCCCTTAGGGGCGCTGTGACTGAAGAATAGACCTGGGATTTAGGATACCTGGGTTTCCTTCTTGGTTCTGCTGCTGGCTGGCTGGGGGCAAGTTGCTTCACCCCTCTGTACCTCAGTGTCCACTACTGAACAGCAGCGACAATGATGCTGCCCGCAG